GCACGACGAAAGTGCGTCGACAAAACCACGGCAAGAAAACCGCGACGTTGAAATCGCGCCCACAACAACGCGCCAAGAAAACCGCGCCCACAACAGCGCGGCGAGAAAACCGCACCCACAAAAGCACGATTAGGGTTAAGGTAAGGGTTAGGGTTAGGGTTAGGGTTATTACCTTATTTTCACGTTGTTTGTTGATGGCGCGCTTTTGTCGGCGTGCTGGTGTCGGCGCGCTGTTGTGGGCGCGATTTCGACGTCGCGGTTTTCTTGCCGTGGTTTTGTCGACGCACTTTCGTCGTGCGCGCATTTGTCGGTGAACCAGCTCCTTTTACCTGTCCCAGCTTTTGCCAACCCAGCAGTTCGAAAGCACGTTAAAAAATGCAAGTAGGAAAATAGGAACCACCTTTGGTGGGAAGGGAACAGCGTTCCGTGCGCCTTTGGGGGAGTTGAGTCATGCCGGCCACATGACCACGGAGACGTCTTCGGACAGCGCTGGCTCTTTGGCATTGAAATGGAGATGAGCACCACCCCCCTAGAGTCGGGAACGAGTAGCACATATGTGTGAGGGGAGCCTTAACCTTTACTTATTCATACACAGTTAAGGATAAAATTATTAAAAGGACACAGGTGACCCTCGACTTACAGCCGCCAATGGGCATCAGACATCCCTTGGTAAGCAAGACTGTTGTTAAATGAGTGGCGTCTCCTTTTACAACCTTCATTACTGGGGTTGTTAAGCGAATAGTATGACCAGCGAATCTGGCTTCCCCGTTGACCTCGCTTGTCCGAAGGTTACAACGGGGGATTGCGCGACCCCGGGAAACTGTAACCGTCATAAATACGAACGGGCAGGAAATTTCTGCTTCGTTCTAGATTGGTTCTCTCCTTGATTAGTTTCCATCCATCACTTCCAATCCTCTTCTCCATCCCTCATTCCTCATCCAAGATCCCAGGGATCCCTCAAGCAGTGTTTCTCAACCTTGGGGACTTGAAGATGGGTAGATGAACTGGGAGAGGGATCTCGGAGTCTTAGTGGACCACCAGTTAAATAGGAACCATCCGTGTGTGACGGCAGCCGAAAAAGCCAATGCAATCCTCAGTTGAGGGATACTATCAAGAGCAAGGGAGCTGCTAATACCACTCTATAAAGCCTTAGTAAGTGGAGTAAGCCACACCTAGAGTACTGCACCTAGAGTACTGCATCCAGTTTTGGTCACCACACTATCGAAATAAATATACCGTTCGATAAAGCACAGTGATGGCTAACCTTTTTGCCATCGTGGGGAAAAAGGGGGGGAGCGCATGGGGTCGTGCGCTCATGTGCCCGTACCATAATTATATACACCCCCCGGTGCATGCGTACCCCCCGCGCTCGCCTGCTTTGGGCACACGATCGCACGCTGGATCTGTTTTTCTCCCTCTCCAGGCTCCTCTAGGAGCCTAGGGAGGGTGAAAACGGCTTTCCCCCCCTTTCCCGGAGGCCCTCTGGATGCCGGAAACGTTTGCCAACTTCCGGTTAGACCAGAAAGTTTGTTTTTTGCTCTCCCCAGTGTCTTTCTAGGAGCTAGGGAGGGCAAACACGGCCTTCCCTACCCGCCCCTTGCTCCCCCCCGGAAGTCCTCCGGATGCCAGAAATGGCCCGTTTGCTGACTTCCAGTTGGACCAGAAGATCCGTTTTTCATTCCCGCCAGGCTCCAGAGCTTTTCTAGGAACTAGGGAGGGTGAAAACGGCTTTCCCCACCCCCTGGAGGCCCTCCGGAGCCCGGAAATGGCCCATTTCCTGACTTCGGGTTGGACCTGAAGGCTCATTTTTCACCCTTCCCAGGCTCCAGAGCCTTTCTAGGAACCCCGGGAGGGCAAAAATGGCCTTCCCCGCCTCCTGGAGTCCAAAAACAGCCTGTTTCCTGACTTCTGGTGGGCCCAGAACAGTGGTGAAATTCAGTTTTTTTTTACTACTGGTTCTGTGAGCATGGGCGTGGCTTGGTGGGCGTGGTGTGGCTTGGTGGGTGTGGTTTGGTAGGCATGGCAGGGGAAGGATACTGCAAAATCTCCATTCCCACCCCACTCTGGGGCCAGCAAGAGGTGGCATTTGCCGGTTCTCCGAACAACTCAAAAATTCTGCTACCGGTTCTCCAAACTACTCAAAATTTCCGCTACCGGTTCTCCGAACTACTCAAAATTTCCGCTACCGGTTCTCTGAACTACTCAAAATTTCCGCTACCAGTTCTCCNCGTC